GTGCAGGACTAGAACAAGAAAGACCCAGGTTTAAGCATACTTTCAGCCAACGTTCACTAAGTGCTTTTGGCCAAGCACTATTCTCAACCCAACCTACAGGACTGGGTAGGTTGTGTGTGAGGAAACATTGGAACAGGAAACTTTGTGTGTGCAGTCTTCAGCTTCTTTAGCTTCTTATATTAAAAGGAAGGAAAGGAAGGAAGGAAGGAAAGAAGGAAGGAAGGAAGGAAGGAAGGAAGGAAGGAAGGAAGGAAGGAAGGAAGGAAGGAAGGAAGGAAGGAAGACTATGACCATGCTCAAGACCAGTTTATACATGGTGGATAATGAGTCGGCTCCAAGCTTCATTAGAAGAAATAAATTATCTAGATCCATTCATTGTGGATTTAGCCTAAGGTCTGACATAGTAACAAGATGATTTAACTCTTGATTTCTGTTGGGTGAAATAAGGAGATAGTATGTTTGATTTCACCATTCATAACTTTTGATACTGTTAATCTTGCTGGACCTTCTTTGTGAGATGAAGCTGAAGATTCAGTGATGTAGCAGTTCCGCTTGTATTGCAGGTTATTTCTGCTCAGCCTGGTGGCACGTGAGCTCTGCAAGCTTTCACCCTTCTCCTTTTTAAAATCTACTGAGCGAAATTAGCTAAGTGCCTTGAAAAAGATGTCCTCAGTATCAGAATGACACATAGTTCTATTTCTTTTTGGCACCCAAACCTCTGACTAAACTTTGAAATAAGCTGGATGACAATCCATACTGTGAAATTGAATCGTGAAGTTCAAAGGCACTGTGGATAGTCTTAGATCATCCTTTAGATCTTCTTAGAGCATCTTTTATAAGCTTGAGCTGGTTTTTCACTCATGGTTTTCCTGAGAAGGACGCCTGTTTATGATACACATGCTCTGGTAAACACTCCACACCGTTGGATGGATTGCTCTGTTTGGTTAAGTTGACATGTAAACAGTTTCCTGTATTATAATTATCAATTAGAAGTATGCGCTGATTTATAAATAAAATGACATATTGCTTTTACTTATTATTATTACATTTATAAACATAAGACCAGCCCTACTATATATCAAGTCAAGGCCCATCTTACTCCAGCATTTTGTTCTTCATAATGGCCAAAGGCTCACAAACATGAAATAGAAACAAAATGGACGTTGCTTACCTGAACGTCCCTTCTAAGCGCGCTGCTGGAGAATCCAAAAGCGAGGGTTATTCATCAGTTCAGTAGTCAGCACTGAACAACAAGACACCTCCAGCCACGGCTGCCGTGCTGGCAGGTACACTTATCAGCCCCAGCTCGCCATAGTAGAGCTTCAAGGGGCACAGAAAAAGGCGCAGGGAAGCCCCTGCGTGGCTGCAACACTGTTGCCGGGCAGAAACTAGCGTCGGAAATCAATCTGCGGCTGCGCAGCTCCTTCCCGGGCAAAAACTGAGCTACAGGCTTACCATGCATGCAGAAGCCTGTTGCCGGGAAGAATTTGGCCAGAAGAGGAGAAAACATGCTCCGCCATTATGGCGGCCCCGTTCCACAAGCATTAGATCGAAAGCGCCGGCATCGGCTTTAGCGACGATTTGCTCCTTCCCCCACAGCACAATAGGTGTGTAGCTGCTCAAAAGCAGCCCTCGCACCAGAAACAAGCAATCTGGAAGAGTTTACCACTGAGAGCAGGGCAGGGACTCTAAAGCGGCAATTTATGTTTTAAAAATACTCGAGTTTGCCGCTGAGAGCAGGGCAGGGACTCATTATCTGCCCCAACACACACGATGGACAAATTAATCAAGAAGAAGGTACCCTGGCAAGGCCGAGCTTCTTATTAAGGGACAAATAGATATGGCCAGACAGGATAGAGGCCATAAGACTTACCCAGCCATTGATAATGAGGAACAGAAGGAAAAAATTTGTTATTAATCCCAATAATTCGAAGGTATCCAAATCTAATCTGAAATCAAGGTCAAATCCAATCCAAGTTCAAATATGAGAATCCAAAAGCGAAGAATTTATTCAAAAAGTTCAGACACCAGACAGAAGCAAAAAAACAAGTCTGATTAACTGACTGAGTGAATAAAAACTGACCCTCTGACGTACAAAGGAGGTGTGTCTACAGAAATTTAAAGACACATACACTCAGTGCTGACTACTGAACTGATGAATAACCCTCGCTTTTGGATTCTCCAAGCAGCGCACTGGAGAACTCCTTTTTACTGTTATTCACGTGGAACAGGTAAATTATATTCTGTCTTTTTCCTTTGCAGTCGGTGTTGTATATGAGAAGGGTTTCTCTTCATTTTTTCCCCACAGTAATCAGTAGGTTAGCTTGTGAGAGCCAGTTTGGTCTAGTGGTAAAAGCAACAGGCTAGAAACCAGGAGACTTTGAGTTCTAGTCCTGTTTTAGGCATGAAAACTGGCTGGGTGACTTTGGACCAGTTCCTCTCTCAGCCCGCGATGTCAGGCTCAGGTCAGTCAAAAAAAGGTTAGGTTGAGAAAATGTTTCTGGGCTGCTGTTCAATGAAATCTGTGGCTCAGTTATGACTTCAACCCGGTCCTTCCAGTCCAATACTGCATGATATATTACATTCACTTTTTTTCTAAGCTATGGGTGCTAAACTTGATCGCATCTCGTGACATCACATGACGTATCACAACTTTTTTGCCTTTGTGGAGCTGGAGTGAGGGTGGCCTATGCGTGATGCATCTGGTCCATGGGCCGCCAGTTTGACACCCGTATTCTAAGCAAAGTAATTTGGTTGCTTATTTGCAATTGTCTCCCATTCAAAGTGTTGATGCTTACCTTAAAAGCAGAGGTAGAAAACTTGTTCGGCATTGTACCACCTTCCCCTTTTTTGTCAATGAAATTTGGCAACAAGCCATAGAAAAATCAGTGGTGACACAATTTCCTACTGGAAATTTGGTGAGAAACATAAATGAGGGGAGGATGCATTAAGCTTTTGAATAGGTCAAAACATACCTAAAACAGAACATCATCATCATCATCCAAAACCAATCTCCCTCAGAAAATGGTGGAACTCTACAAAATTGTCCATTTCGATTTTGCAAGGTGTTAATGCCTTGCTTTCCTTCACTCTTGAATCATCAAGCACAGTATTTAAAGGATGCTCCCAACCGCAAAATAAAATAAAATAAAAATAATCCAACCCTTCAAAATGCCTGATGAAGCATACCTTCCTATAACAATCTATACAATAATTCCTCAGAAGAGACTTCTTGTAACATTGTACGTGAAGTGATTAATGAAAGAAATGATGACAACAAAGCATTTCTGCTGGAACTGAAATGGAGCATTGGTGCCACCTACATGTCAGATAAATGAATATTTCATCAATCTATTTTTAGGGCCAGATTTCTAAAGAGAAGAAGATGCCAAGTTTACCGAGCTTGTTTCTGCAAAGATAGAGTTAGCAAATAGTTGCTGATTGTCAGCTCTTTTGAAAAACTTTATTTTCTTTCATGCTTACAACAGGAACTGAGCTACTTTAGGCAGGTTTCAGGGATATCTTTAGGCAGGTGCATATCTCTGCAATTTTGAGAAGTGATTGTGGGCATTTTCCCCGAAGTAACTGCAGTAGAAGGGCTAATTCACAAAAGTGTTGCTATGGGAGGCAAAACCAGTCAGAAAATACCCATTTACCATTTACTCCATTGTCTTCTAAACTTGACCAAATGTTCCTTCTCATGCAATGTATCTTTGTTCTTTTTTTTCCTCAGGAAATTGACCCACTTTCTAACAAAATATTGGGGTACAGAACAGATGCTTTTTTTAAGAAAGTTTATGGGGCCCTACATAGCTTCTTACAAGTAATTTTGGAGAAGAAAGACTGCTCAGATGATGCCTTCTTTACACTACTTTGCTGTAAATATGACTATTTAATTTTATTCAGTTACTCTAAATAAAATTAAAGCCAAATGGAAGTTCTTGGTGCATGTGTAGTGCATGAGCTCAGATTATGGTTATAGAAAATTTGGGCCCTTCATTTCATTTGAAGAAACTGTGCATAAGAGTAACAGAAGGATCCTTGTGATTGTAGATACTTTTTTTCTCCTCCTCCTCTATTTCTCTTTGCTTGTTTGATGTTTTATGTATTCTCTTTTAACCATTGAAATATCATTTTATAAATCCGAGGCATATTGCTTAGGTCAAGTATAGCTGTTGCCTCCATCTGTAACCTTTTGCATGAGCCAAGTGGGTCATGAAAGACTGCTTTGAAACTTGATACATGGAAAGTGTATTCATAATAATTGCAAGCTAAGGACGGGAGATGGGAATATACACTGGAACAGGCAAGAAACATAAGCCGTGATGAGAAGAAATTACAAATATTTTCTCACTTGAATGTCATAGCTCAACCTCAGAATCCAAGAACAATCCCAGGTTGGAAAATAGGACTGGAGAAACTCCTGATTGTATTTTTCGGGGAACTTCTGCCAGTCAGTTTTGACTGAGAAATAAATTCTCTCGATTTCAGGGGAAGGCAGCTTCCTATGTTTTTGACTTCCAAACACACTTTTTACAAAAGTGGCCTTGGCTGGGGGTATCCATTTGCATTTGCATTTGCATCAGAAAGCATACCTGGTTATTTCAATGTAGGTAAATCAGCACCGTAACATGAGGTTGTAGAATCTAGTTATAGGTTCTAGTTAAACAGGTTAACTGTTTATGAACCAGAGTTTCATTGTGTCTTGTGAAAAGTCCAGGATGAATTGTTTCCTTTGATTTTGTTTGTGCATATTTCCAGGCAGCTCATGGTAACTGGAAGGTAAAGCATTTTTAAAGATTTTTTTTAATGCAGCCCTCACAGAGATCAAGCTTTGGTTCTGCAAAGCAGGGTTTATTGTTACATCCTCCCATAATAACCTTCAGGTGAAAGCACCAACCACCTCTTGACATAGAGGGTTCACGTGCTAAGTGAACCATTTGGTGATATCTCCTAATTTTAAGCAATCTCCACCTATTGATTTTTGTTCATTGGGGAGAATAAAGATGAGACTAGCTTAAAGGTTCTTAATTCAAATCCTACTGCTACATTTGTCTGGCCAGATTTCAGCCTCTGTTAAATCACATCTTCCCCTATCATTATTTTTCTTCATTTTAGCAGATTATCCTCATTGTGAGAGGTTCAGAGCAAAACAAAACACACCCACTCACAGACACACACACCCTCAAACAAAGCCATTTGCATTGTACTTTCAAAGTTGTACCAGCTACTTCAAGAGAATAAAGTGCTATCAAGCTGCAAAGTGCTTTTACGGAGCCAAACACCCTTGACACAAAAATATAGGTAAAATAACACTTCAGAGATGCTTTGTTTTGTTTTGTTTTGTTTTGTTTGTTTTGTTTTGTTCTGTTCTGTTCTGTTCTGTTCTGTTCTGTTCTGTTCTGTTCTGTTTTGCAGTGGTCTTAGCAGTCATCTCATGATCTGTTTTTTAAGTTAATTATCTCTGGCCTTTACTCAACATGTGAGGACCACCTGTCAGATGCAGCATTATGATCATCTAATAGCCAATGGCGGTATAATTTTTTTCAAATTGCACACTAACTGTCACTCATCTCACATGGACCCTAGTTCTTAAGCATCAAGGAAAGCTTACTAGCTTTTGTTAATACTTCAACTTTGGGGATTTAATCTAAGTTATAAATTTGTTCACACTGACTGACTATTATCATTCTATGGCAGAAAGAGGAAAAAATATAAAAACTTGTGAGAAATCCTCTTCACTTAATGATTGCTGCTAAATAATATGCCAAGTCATATTGACCCCGCAGTGCCTGTATATATCATAGAATCTAAGGCACTCAAGACCAGTAAAATAGAAATAAAAGTGCTCTTGGACTGATGTCTAGCAATTTTGAATCTTTAGGATAGAATTCTAGCAAGGTAGACTGTATCTTTGTACTATATATTCTGGTGCAATTTAATAAAGTAGGAATTAATCAGAGCACAAAGAGGATCCAGAAATGACATTTTGGTTTCAATCTTCAGCTTCCAAAAGTTCCTTGCTTCCAAAAAGGAGCCTTGGTGGCGCAGCAGACTAAACTGCTGTTAAAGTAGCACTTAGCTGCCAGCAGCCTGCATTTACTGCGAGTTCAATTCTCACCAGGCTCAAGGTTGACTCAGCCTTCCATCCTTTCGAGGTAGGTAAAATGAGGACCCGGTTTGTGGGGGCAATAAGCTGACTTTGTATAAAATAGAACACTGCTCGGGGGGGGCGGGGCAAAAAGCCCTACTGAGCATGTATATACAAAAGTATGAAGGCTATTGCTTAATGCATTGTAAGCCGCCCCGAGTCTCCGGAGAAGGGCGGCATATAAATCAAACTAATAAATAAATAAATAAAAATGAAAGTCCTACTGAATTAAGTAACTTCAGATGCATGTGCCTTTTGTTATATGTATACTTTGGTTTTAACTTTGCCTACATTCTTTTTCTAGATGGAAACCCCTAATCTGGCTCTCAAATCTTGGATTTTCAATCACAGACACAAAGATCCACATACAGGAAAAGGTTTCATGTTTTCTTTATTATTGTTTTAAAAGATTTGTTTCATTTCCAAATATAGATCTAATTTCTACATGTAATTTAAAACTGTTCTAGAAATAGGCTCTTTCAGACAAGTTCTCCCATTGTTTTATAACTTGGAACACAGAGACAAAAGGAACAGAGATACAGAGAGAAGGTAAGATTGATGTCACGCCTGCGCCATCTCTGGGGGAAAGCAGACACATCCAGTGTTCTTTGGGTAAAGGTTTTGTCCTCTTTCTTCAGAAGTGCATTTCCGTGTTGTATATCTTATGACACATAAGTCATGTTCATACAACATGCTGAACCTGGTTATTGCATTAACTAGCTTTCAGGGTTTTGCACAGATCGCACCGTAACTGAACCAGTTGCCTGGGTTTGCATAACACTCAAGTCACAAAAACCAAAAGCCCAAGGTTAATGCTAACCAAGCTATGCTATGCCTTTAAATCCTTAATTTATCTGCTTAAGCATGTTGTGCAATGTACACAGTGACTGAGATACTGATGTTTAACCTACGTTGAGCGAGGCAGCACAATTTGCTTACTGTTTGCACACTAGAAGGGCAGATATAGGCTACCCCTTCCGAAACTTCTGTGGGTTTGGAAATGAAAAGAAAGGAGAAAGAGCCCTTGAGATTTCACATGATTGCTTGCATCAATCAATGCACCTCTTTATTTTATTTTTTTCTCTTCCATTTCTACCCAGTCACTTTGCTGATAACAGTAGGTCTTTTAGCCCTCAATTGGTGCAGACATCCCAAACAACCAATCTTTGTCTCGTTGCAAACAAACATTGGAACCTTATCTCTAGCTCGAGTCTAAGTTAAAGAAAATAAATAAATATTAAAATACATAAAAGACAGTTAATGTTGCCTAACATTGAGAATGACCTGAAGAGGTTAAACAAATGGTCAATTGGCAACAGGGACTAATAAGTAACTAGTAACCTTTTAGGAGTACCTAGCATGCCACAAGAATGGTCTCTTGGAAATTAAGCCATTGGGCTGCCACATTTCTTTTGCTCCTTCCTTGCAGTTTTCAGATTTTCAAGATTCTTTACTTTATCCTACTAACGATAAAGATTTTTCCAGAAACCCAAGCTGTTGTTTTCATAGTTTGCCTACCTCGCAGGGCTCGATATTAATCTTGAAAGCCCACTAAAACAATTCCCTGGTTCAATTTACAACTAGCATAATTAAGGTGGAATTTATGCTGTGTCACTATCTCATGTTTCCCCATTCCACCCTCTCTTCTGGTTTGAGAAGCATCCATCACATGATGCTTCTGTGAGACAGCAGTTACATAAGGCAATGCAGCTAAATTATCGATCTTCTGTTATTTTCCATCAATATCAGAAATCAGCCAGAAGTTTCAAGCTGACTTCCATCCTGTTTGGGCTTAAGAAGCAGATCATATAAAACAACTTAAGCCAAATGTTTGTAACTGCAAATGTAGTCTTTTCTCATCATGGCTCTTGTAACTGGACACCAAGCTTTAGAAACAGCTCCTACTACCCTGAGTTTCACACTGGTAGTAAGTTTTCTCTAGCTCAGACAAGATTTCTGGGTTCCAAACCCTCTTTAATGAGGACATAACATATGTACACTATACATAGTTAGTGAGTGCAACAACAAATACATTAAAAAAGATCTACTCTTATATACATTATTTATAAAAAGCAAATTGACCAGCCACCACCCCAATACAAAAATACATGTTTCTTATTATTTGCATTATAGTTATTAATCCCTAGAAATAATTACTGATTGACTTAAAAATTAGTTTAAACAACAATCCAACCATAAAATTCATAGGATACAATATATAAACGAATGAGGCTTTTTAAAAATGATTTTTGTAAGGTTGGGCGGACGGTTGAAGATGATAAACATAGACGGAAAACGTAAAATATGACTGAGATTGAACTAAATAATTCAGAACTCCATATACAGTCTGGACTCTGGATGAATATGGGGATTATTTTTTGTTCTTCTCTTCAGATCACATTCTTAGACAGTCAATTGAAAATGAGTTTCAGCTATTTGAAGGAAATCTATTTGTTTAGGATCACAGGTGTGATTCACCTGCTCTTTTTTGTTGTTGTTACATGGAAATAATGCAGAAGAGATTTAGTGTTTAGTGCAGGTCTTGCTGCACCAACTTCAGTGTAGAAATAATTACTCCACTATTCAAATGTCACCAAGAACAATTGGACTTTGGGAATTTGCTAATGCGAGGGCAGGAGCAGGGAAGAATTGTTGTCCATGTCCTCAGCTGGACTTAGACCAGGATTTCAGAGTGAAAATAGCTTGTTCCTGATGCAACATTAATTTATTCTGAAGATTTGACTTGCTTAGTTATATCCCTCAAGTTCAGTTTTCAATGTATCCCATTTTGGAACATTTTTGTGTATGAATCAGTCTTTGAGATAATTAAAAGAAGAATAAAGTCACTAGCTTTCCAAGGTGCAAATTATTGGAAGCTGCAAGAGTCACAAGCTACGGCAGAGGGCAGTAAAGCTTCAACTAGTGCCTTTTATGTACTGTGACGCTAGAACTGACAAGCCACTTCAATGTGTCACATTAACTGAGTGAATGCTACAGTCCAACATAGTTTTGTGACACATAGTTATCCCCCACCCTGCAATCCTGTTCCAGTTACTCCAGGGATGGCAGAAACATTATTGCTGAAAGTGCGCAAAAAGTGGATGTGCATAGAAAGTGAGGGATTTTGGTACTGTACCCCATACAGGGCCTACATGAAGTGCTGCTGTGCATAGGTAATAGCAGAAGAAAGCTACAGTCCTTTCAGTGCCAAAGTGTTCTAACACAAGAGGTCCAGTGTTTTCTATCTCAGGCATTCCTTCAAGCACCTTATTTCAGTCTGAGATTGTATTCCCAGAAACACAGCTATCTGATTAAGCTTAGCTGCATATCCGAACATCTGACATGGAATGGAAAGCTGAGGCACCTGCTCTGAGATATCTATTCCATCATTGTGGTACATGTATAAACACAATTCTCCATGAATTTGTACACTATAGGAGAGCGCTTACATTTTGAAAATACGATGCAGGAATGCTGAGTTTCTTGATCCAATATAGATCAATATTGGGAGGAAAAGTGCTGCTACTGACTAAGTTCTGAAATGTTCTGCATGCTGTGATCAGATTTGTACAATACAAAAAGCATGTTTTTGTAATCAGGGCAGAAAGTGCATCTTTAAAACCTCGACCAGAGTTTGATTTGAATTGCTAGCTATAGGGCAACAGGGAAGAAATGTATTCCATTTCATTTGCTTATTTTTGTTAATGGATAGTTCATTGCTTTCTATAAAACCAGAGGAACTACTTTTGTCTGATTAATGTTGAAAGGTATGAAAAATGTTCTTCAGGATTATGACAGAAGGGTAGGACAATTTTGCAAATATCATTATCAGCTTCTTGTTGCATAATAAGGATTATATATCAGGGCTAAGTACTAAATATAATATACATTCAGACTAGAGATGACTGTTTATACCTGGGAACCATCAGAGTACCCCTAAAGCTTCAAAATATTTTCACAAGTTGCCGATGCAGCACTACAACTAGCCTCATGATCATCATTCAAATCTTCTCAGAAAGAACCTATTGCATTTTTGTTCCCCTGTTGCAAGGACTAGGCTCTAGTTACAATGTAAAACAGGTATTAATAACAGGGAGGAAAAATTGAATTTTCCAGTCTTGGAATGTTATATCAGTTTTGATTACCATGTTTTTCATTAAAGTTTTCCAGAGTTTAGACATTCTAAAATCATCTTAGCTTCATAAAATCCTGCTTGCTATATGTCATCCATTGTTTAGATGACATATTTTTTCTGTTCAAGACCTTATAATTTCATGTTTTAAATCACGGATGAATCCTGAAAGCTAGCCTTCCCATATATGATGTCATCTAAAAGTTTTAGGATTGCAACTCCCAGAATTCCCCAGCCAGTGTGGTCCATTTATGTAGCATCAAGGGACAAATAATGTTTTAACGTAAGAGTCCAATTAACATAGAATCTTAAAACTGTGATTATTGCTTCCCAATGGAACAAACAAACAGAAGTTAGGTTTTGAAGACATGAACAATAGGACCAACTAAAGCTCGGTTCCATATAAGAAGAGAGAGCTACATTGCCCAATTTCCAGTGCCATCATCTCTTCTCTGCTTCAAATACCCTCAGGATAATTCAGAACATGTAAATGGATCCTTGGAAACCAGTCCAAATCTTCACCCCATCACAACTGGTAGTTCAGAGGGCCTGTAGTTTCCCAATATGTCCCCATTAACCTGCCTCCCACTCTAAGTCTTACAACTACCTAAAAAGTGGCAAGGAGTTCATTGCAGAGGGCAGACAAGGAAACCGAACCAATGTCAGGGAGAGAGAAAAAAGTCAGGCCTGCCAAATGACATTTGAGGAGGATTAAGGATCTGTAGTTGGAGCTGGGATTGTGACCAATAAGATTTTTTTTAAAAAAGGAAATAATATTTTTTCTTTCTTAAACCCCTTCAAGCTTTAAAAAGCCTTCGCTTTTCATTCTGTAGCCTCAGTGTAATATTCATATAATATAAAGCTTGGCCCAAGTCAACCATTCAGTAGTGAGCATCAAGTGAGAGCCCTACATCCAAGTTATTTAGCACAGTTGCTCCATTTTCTTCTGGTCCTGCTGACTTCTGAGTCCCCTCAGTGTGGGCCAGCTGGACTGGACATATAGAACTGAAGATATACTGTGTATCATAGCAGCCTCCCCTCCCTTTCCCTTGAAATGGACTTATTTTTCCAGTTTATGTGCTCATTTAGACTACTGTTAGCCTGGCCGATCCCAGACTTTGAGAGAAAATCAAATGCCCAGAGAAAGTAAGAGATTGGCTTCTGGTCTAGTCCAGCCTGCAGCACTTCTGGCTCAGTGAGAGTGTGAGGATTTCATACTGGAATAGCACCCGTGGCCCAGAATGTAACCAGGGATGAAAAAATGATACAGTACTAACACAGGGCAGGGGCAGGAAATGGATCGAAGCCAGTTGAGTTTCCCAAGGCTTTGTTGTGCATCACGGGGCTCCAAATGTCGCCTAGTGGCTGCCTCCACTCTTTAGGCCACCTGACATCCAGTCGATGATGATGAAGCTGAGGCTCATGATCATGAAGAGCACCCCGAGGCACGCAAAGAGGGATGCCTGCAGGGAGAAGAGATAGGAGGGAAGGAGAGTGTCACTTGCGGAAAGGAACCCCCAAATGGTGGAAGCAGAAGCACATGAATGTGTGTTGCTCTCCTCTCCCAACAACTGGAGCAAGGAGAATAATCTAGACATCCAAAGTTGAGAGCGGGCTTTAAATTGTGCCAGTTGTAGTGCAATAGAAATGGGTTGGCAACTGATTCATAACAAAGCATGCTCCTACAACTGTATATTTCTATACTTCACATGTTCCCTCCCCCCACCCTCCAAAAATGTATCACGCAACCTTTATGGCTGAGTAGCACTGCAGCTAGGGAGGAAAGACTCATGCCTTCCTTGAAAATTGTGGTTCTGCTCCAGACCAGCTCTTTTCTTAATAGCATCTTTTGAATAAAGATATATTGCACATCCCCATATGGCACAAATGATGATGACATTGATATTTATAATGATAAATTATAAACCATGCATTCAGTTTGAAATCCAAAAACTGCGATAACTTCCATAGATAATATGCAGGACATGCAGGGCACGTTCTCCTTACCCCCTGCCAAAAAAATACTGCTTGGAAATACTAAGTTTCACTATCAGGTGGATTCTCTAAAGCAGAAAACCATTTTTTCTCATCCAATAATCCATCCCTTGGGACTCTTCATGAATAACTGAAGTAGCCAAAGTGGACTGTTAGAGATTACATACCAGGATCTTGGGAGGGGATTTCATAGATTCCTTGTCCTTGGGTATGATCCGGATGTAGAATATTGCTGGGAAGATGAATATCAGGCAAGGAGCTGAGGTGGCACCTGGGAGAGTCCAACAGAGAACAGGTTTAGGATCTTCAGAAAATGAAACACCCTGGGCTTCACTTTTCTTCACTAATATATTTTTGGGAAAACATAACAAGCTCTGACAACAGGAACTCCAGCCTTGCCCCTCATCCCTGGCAGAGTCCAGAACAACTATTGATTTTCCTCCAAGGATACTGTTTGAGTTAAAAATCAGCAAGGAAAAAAAGCAACCGATGAGTGGCTAGGAGTAAAAACAACAAAGAAGAGCCCTTTGGAATTACATGGCAAACAAAGAGGTTTAATAAGATGGCCTTGATCCTGGAAAAACAGAACACCGAGGCACCAGCTCAAGGAGTCCCATGGATGCTCTCAAAGAAGTATGGAATAATTATTGACCTAATGCAATTTCTATTATTAGGAGCTTGTTTATTTAGGGAAGAACTTTGACTCTCCCTTGTGTTTTAGAAATACTTCTCAGAAACATTTTTCAAAATATAAATGATTTTATCCATATCCATAAACAATACCCATAATGGATATTTTGCCAAAATGCAGAATCCATATTACATAGCGGTAATAGTTTGACATCAGTAATTTTCTTATATATCTTTCATCCCTTCCCTTCCCTTCCCTCTTTATTTTATTTTATTTATTTTATTTCCTGTCACTCTCTTTCGCACTTTCTTTTGCTTTTTGCATTTCTTTTCTTTTTTTCTTTTTGGTATTAGTTTGTATTATCTTTTATTGTTAAAATCCTTAATAAAAAGTATCTATTTAAAACAAAAAGATTCCTAGAATGCAAGACTTACCAATTAAGCCAAAGATTCCCAAGATGGAGGGAGCAAAAATAACAAGCAAATTAATAGATGTCAGTAGAAGAAAAGCAATGATAATGTGTCGAATCCAGCTGAAATCCTTGTCTGGAAAAAGCATCTGCTGGATTGCACGGCGCACCTGAAGAAAAACAACGTAGTCAGGTCAGTGGTGATATCCAATTTTTTTACTACTGGTTCTGAGGGCGTGGCTTGGTGGGCGTGGCAGCGGAAGGATACTGCAAAATCTCCATTCCCACCCCGCTCCAGGGGAAGGATACTGCAAAATCCCCATTCCCTCCCCACTCCTGGGGTAAGGATATTGCAAAATCTCCATTCCCACCCCACTCTGAGGCCAGCCAGAGGTGGTATTTGCCGGTTCTCCGAACTACTCAAAATTTCCGTTACCAGTTCCCCAAAACCTGTCAGAACCTGCTGGATTTTACCCCTGAGTTAGGTTCACCTTTTAGAAACATGGCAGAGTTCTTCACTGCACATATTTTAGGTCTGTCTTGACTCCTGTACCACTTTATCACAGCTACTTGAATTTATCCTTTTGCCCAATAGAATGGACTTCTAATCTAATGGCTTAATTTTTTTACTTCAGTTCCCATTTCTAATTTGGTGGACTATAACAGCTATCACTATAACTCAACCTTAATCATCTACCAGTGCTTAGATCTTGTATACTATTCTCCCCTGCTTGTATCTATTGCAGCGGTGCTATAGTTTTGAACAATAGGGGTACTTTGGTACTCAACAGCTTTGAAACTCATTGAATTTGGTACTCCAACACATTTTAATGTGAAAAATTTATCCCGATACTCATCGTTTATTTGGTACACAACTCACAAGCTAGAACTTGTTGGTGTTGGCTGCCTTGTGACTTACTACGTTATTCCTTATGGGAAAATTTTGTTTGTTACTCTTCATTTTTGGTACACATTGAGCCTGTCGGAACCAATTAAAATTAACCAAGGCACCACTGTAAACCACAATGACTTTAATGGTTTACAGCCTAGGCGGTCTTGATTTTTATTCTTCTTTCAGTTACAAAAAATAGACATCAAGAATTCATGCAAGATAGGAGTTAAATTTTAGATCGAGATTCCAGTTTAAAAAACACATAGACACACACAACACAAAATCACATTTAATCTCCTTTTGTCAGTTTTCTGACAGCGGAACTCACCGGGAAGAGAACAATGGGCACTGTTAGTGTCACAGCAATCAACACAGCTACTCGCACACACAAGATCAGCACATCAAGTGAGTCTACTCTGCTGTAGGTGTGAAGCAGCTCTGATTCTACCTGCCCTGTAGGAGACAGCCAAGAACAGAATAGCAGCATTGATCAGGCTAAATATATAACAAGGACTTCCTTTGTACAGCACTCCCAAAATGTTTTTTTAAAAAAATATAATTGAAGACTGTAGAGGTGTTTGTTGTTCCTAGAGGCTGCAATCATATGGCTGGTGGCATGGGCAACTTTGTAAAATGCTAATTACAGTTTTCTCAAATGAACATGTAAGTCATTATATTGCACAACAAGGGAAATTTGATGTACTATTATGTCTTTGTACAGGATACAATGCAAGGATTCAGCATTCTTCTTTGGAGGTTCTCTAATGAAATGCATGAGACAGGCCAGTCCAAAGCACAGCTGAGAACACAAGCTTTGCAAAATGTGAAAAGATTGCTACTGTTGGTGCTTTATAGTTCATTAGTGAGTTGAGCATCCAAAGAACATGTAGCTGCCTGCAACTGCATTCCAATGGTTAGTTCTTTCTTTCTTTTTATTTTATTATTCATATTTCTATGCCGCCCACTCTCCGAGGACTCTGGGCGGCTTACACCAAAGACAGTATACTAAATAGCATATTGCCCCCAACAATCTGGGTCCTCATTTTACCCACCTCGGAAGGATGGAAGGCTGAGTCAACCTTGAGCCGGTGAGATTTGATCCGCTGATCTGCTGAACTAGTAGTCAGCTGAAGTAGCTGCAGTACTGCACTCTAACCACTGCGCCACCTCGGCTCAGTTCTTGAGGGAAGAAGGCTATAGCTTTAAAAAGACAGTACTTTCTGCCCTGAGTATCTGCCTTTCCTTCATTTAATTAGGAAGCACAGAACATGGGATAGATTGCAAACTTTCTGTTGGCTTGAAGGCCATCCAAGTCTTTGTAAGACATACTCCAAAATTGGCAAGAGAGGGATTTAAGAGATCAAATGGATGCCTGAAATCTCTACCAGGCTTAATATATATCCTCACAACCCTCCTCCCCTCAAAATGTAAAAAGATCCAAATTCTGGGAGTCACAAAAGGGATACTGATCGGCTGAATGTGATCTCAGGACATACATAAACTCCTAGGGCAATAGAAAGGAACTTACCATAAAATGTGAGATAACCAAATAGGGCAGCCAGGAAGTACATAACATACATGACTGTGATGGAAATGTTGGAGATACACTGCATCTTCTTCTTGGTTGGGCTAAAAGACATACAAAAGCTCAATGAGAAGCATTTAACTTAGGCTAATCATGAAGTGGTTTTAATTTATTAAAAGCAGTGCACTGTTATCATTTGAATTTCTTTTTCACCTTGCTATTATTTAAACATACAAATGATTGATGAAACTCAATTTTGTATTTTTTTTTAAATCCCTGAACATTCTTCCTGTGAGTTCATATTACATGATAAGTCACAGGAGTTTAGATGGCATGTATATCACCTGTCTATTATTGGGGGGGGACAACATTTGATGAAAATCCCGAGAAACACTAAATGATTTTTAAATTAAAATGAACCTCAGTTGCGCAACCTATGCTATGAAATTCTAGTGGAAAACTATAGCGCTGATCCCCAATCAACTGGGAATTCTACAGTTCTAACAGACCACAAAATACAAGCTCCCCTCTTGACTAATCAGGTCTCTTTATGCATTTGTGAACAGATATTTGTCCTCCTGCCTACTGAGAATCAACGTTCTGGAATGGCAGAAAATTTGCTCAACAGAACCAGCCACTTTGGCCTTTTGTACTTGACATGGAAGGAAGCTGTCCAGAATTTGCTACAGGCAATGTGCAGGAAATGTGTGCGTGCATGAGGAAGAAAAAGAACGAATGTCCTAAAACATCATCTTTATATTCCTCCTCTAAATTCAGTCATCTGACGCCTATGCTGTTTCTTCAATTTGCAACACTACTTCGGTGATGTCAACAGTGAGGTATTATTAACATATGTACATACTTACTTTTTCAACTCAGTGTAGATAGGAAGGACTTCAGGATGACACACAAAAGCAAATGCCATGATAGGGATGGTGTAGGCTGTCTGCAAAATTAAAAGAGCAAAGAGATGTTGGGGAAATGTCAGAGAAGCTTCTGCCTGCAAGAGTGATGCTGTTTTAAGCTCTCAGCTATACCCATGCAAAGAGATTGCACACCCAAAAAGTGTTAACAAAGATTAGCAGGGAATAAATGAAGTGGAGACAAATTCTTAACAGAATTGTGATTCCCAGAAACTCAGGTCCCTGAACCCCAATCTAGATGTGTTATTGTGGCCATTCTTCCAATCATCGCATCAGACAGGAGTAACCACTAAAGCAGTGGCCCACTATAGGGCTGTGGCCCATTCAGAACTGAGCCACAGAAGCAGTGGGTGAGCATACATGTGCACACAGATCCACTTGTGCGAACAGTGGGTACACGTGCCTGCTGCTTGTGCAAATGGAGCTGCACACACATGTGTGTTTGCCCACCACTCGTGTTGAACCAACCTCTCCCCCACCTCTGTCACCAGTCCACAAAGCCGGAAAACTTGGAGACCACTGCACTAAAGGATGATTATGCCACTTCAGTCCTGAGCTTTTTACAGGTTTCCCTTTAGATCTTTACCTATTTTATATTCCATCTCTTTCATTCCTCATTGTTACCTTGGTTTTTATCCTCAAAACTGTTTCTCTACTTTTGTAAGCTTCCTCTTTGCTTTCCTCTTCTTTTTTAACTCTTCTGTCCCAAAATCACTTTTTCACTCTTTCGTCAACCATCATAGTTACATTTATTCCTACTCTTTCCACCTATCTATTAATTTCTTTCTTTCTCCTTTTACCACTATTCCTCTATAGTTTAGATCAACATATCCCCCCTGCAGTTAGCATGGTCATCTATAGAAGATTGGTTTAAATTATTTGTATCATGTTGGCTCTAGAACAGGGTGTCAAACTCAAAGCCCGTGGGCCAGATCTGGCCCACAGGATGCTTAGATCTGGCCCATGTCTGCTCTGCAAACAGCAAAGGACCAGCCTGCAGTGTCTCTGCCAGCAAAAACAGAGCTCGGGAGGACCATGCACGGCCCTCCCAGGCTCCAGTTTTGGCCACGGCGGCCTCCTGCACCCTCTGCCAGTGAAAACGGAGCTTGGGTGGGCCACATGTGGCCCTCCCAAGGTCTGTTTTCATGGCAGAGGGCTGCAGGAGGCCATCGCAGCCCAAAATGGAGCCTTGATGGAGTAATGTCGAGCTGGCCACGCCCCCCGAGGTCAAACCCTGATGCAGCTCTCAATGAAATTGAGTTTGACACCTCTGCTCTAGAACAACCATTAACATTTAATAATAAAAGGCCAGCAATACAGTAAACATCTGATACAATTAACAGTGTGTGATAATTATTCTCTAATTTGGACATTTCCTGAAATTTAGGCCAAAACTCCTACCCACAATCAGCATTACCACTGCTGAAAATTCACACATTTGGATGGCACCTAGGTTGGAGAATGATATATATTATTAATTACTGCTGGTATCCTCACAAATTCACTCATCTGACCTGAGACTTGAGCGTGAACAAACTTGAAGAGCAAATATCTTCCTCTATGGCCTGCATAGTAGTGTGTTCATTTTGATAGCTGCTTGTGCTAACCAAGGTGTAATTCAGGTTGCCTGTGTTGTTGATCTGGTCAGGAAGTGGACAAGGAATCTGGAACTTTTTGTAAATGACCTGAGGAGGAAATTAAACTTCATAAATTCTCATCTGAGGAGGAAATAAAACTTCATAGGTCCCAATGTTTGTTCTTCTATAGAACCTGGTTCTTCCTCTGAGTTTTAGCCCAGAACATGGGAAGAACCCATACAAAACTAAAGTTCTTGATTGAGATATGTGAGAGTTGGTCTTTGTTAATTTTGTTCTTATTGTTATTTCTGTTATCCCATTGTCCTATTTTTGTTTTTATCCTGTTCTGAACATTTATTATACTTTTTTACCCCAATTTTAATTCTGTGTTTTCAAGTTTCTGCAAAATCCCCCAAATGGTGTCCAAACCAATCCACGGTAGGAAGATGACAGGCACTAGGTAGCATTATATTCCGGTTACATTATTATTAATATAAAAAGGTGAGCATATTTCTGATTGGTTGAACGGAGATGGAATAGAACTAGAAATGATGTCTATGGAGAGTCTCAATCATCCAGGTCATGCTTGTCCCAAAGGTGCTTTTCCAAAAGGCAACTGGACTTTCTTGATTTTTTTCATTGAAAACATTTCACTTCTCATCCAAGAAGCTTCATGCTTTTCCAAAAGGCAGCTGGGCATTTCTTGTTTTTGTTTTTGAAAACATTTCGCTTTAAGAAGAACCTGAAGAAGCTTCTTGGCCACCTCTTACAATTCTGTTTAGCTATTCTGGGGATGGCTGCAGTAGATCATGTGGGCCAGTCAGAGAAGTCCAGTACAAAAGTGCACATAGCAGAGTGATAATATGTTAATACTAGAAACACGATGCCTTCCTATCTTATGTATTCCAATCTCTCATTCCCTTGTCACAGGCCTTACTAACTAAAGTTCATAGGAGTTAAAAAGAAACCTGGAAGGGATCCATTTGCCTATTGCTGCTATAACTTTATTTAAGAATCCTGAGAACTACACTTTCCACTGAAATACCCACATTCATAGTCGCACATCTTTGTATTAGTAAAACTTAATAACTGAGTTCTAAACATTGTACATACTTTCCTAATTCATATTTCTCAAAACTTGTGATTTTGAAATCCACTTTATGATTTGATTTGAATGATTTGACTTTAATACAAAGAAAGCAGCATAAATATACAGCTTAAGTTGTATGTTCTGGGTAAATATTATTGTTTTAAAAGATACTGTTTTTCTTTATAAAATAAACTTAAAACAGATCTTAGAAAAGTCAATGAAACACAACAAAACTATTCAAATTCCATGTTGAGAAACAGTTGCTGAATTCATTCACTTTTATTAAAAAAAAACCAGGGTAAAATAATACAAATTAAAATCAGGGAGACAGAACATTAACCACGCCAAACCCCACTGAGTAGCTTGCCTGAGGCATCAGGCAAAAAGTAAATTAAATGTCTCCACGTAGGAGGTATCACAGTGGAACTTCATACCCTGCACCAGCATGAAGCTTGTAAAACATGCTAAACTTAGGCAGCATGATATGTCACCAATGTATATCATAAAAGAGATTTACTTATATAGCTTCCTAAATACATTTTACCATAATGCCATCAGATTGCAACTTTTTAAAACAAGAAGTAAGTAGCACAAATACTCCGGTGATAATTGCACTACCACTATTTTTTGCCAGAGATCACAGCTATGATTATTTATAGGACTGGAGTGTTAGAAAAAAAATCAAGCTAGCAAGCCCTTTGGGATTGTCCTTATTATAATCCAGGGCAAAATTTACAATTTGATTGGGTATAAATATCTTCAATGCAGCAGTTCGTGTAGGAGTAACTAGTTGATTTAAGCTACTGATAAAGGAAAGTATTTGTAGCTCAGGGTTGAAATAAAATGTCCTCTGAGCTGGATTGTTTTCTTCCTGACATTTCATTACCCAAACTAGGCAACATCATGATGTTTCCTCATTTGGGTAATGAAACATCTGCAAAAAAACAATCAAGTTCAGAGAACACCAAGCACCCCTGATTTAAACTAAGAACCACTTCTCACTTGAAAATGTATGATAGCTTGAAGAAGAGTAAAAAATACTCCCTTCTCAAAGATTGGTAGGCACTTTGAAATTGTATTTTATTCGTATGCATGCTAACATCCCTATGAGGGCTCTGGCACTACTTCCTGTCTTCTCCTGTTGTCCCTCACAATGATACAAAGCTTCTTCTCCCAGAAATAGATCAGTGTTTCTGACAAGGGAGTGAGAATGTAGCGATGCATCATTGCAAAGGCTGGAGGCAAATTGCTTGCGAGCTATTTACTGTGACAGTCCGCACTTGAGAAAGTAGCACTGTCCAATTTTAGCAATATCAGGAAATACAAAATCCCCCTCCATGGCCCGATGACCCAAAAGGAAAAAGATTTAGGACCAGATTCAGAGGCTCGATACATCTGGTTTGATGGAGTTAGAATCTAGCAGAAATAATTACATGCAAGTAAAGATGCTTTCATAGAGAATCAATACCCTGAAGTATTGCTCCCTTAGAAGCTAGGATAAAATACCTCTCCTAAGAACCCTCTTTTAAAATTTGATTCCGTTTATTTAATCTGGATCTTCTTCAAGATGCAATTGGCACCAAGCATACTTTTCCTTCCCTGACTCTCTCCTATTTTATCTTTACGAGATCCTTGTAAAACAGATTAGGCTGAGATGTACTAGAATTTTTGTAAACAAACAAATGAATAAGCAAAGCTCTTAAATATTTTTTTAAACTAGGAAAAAGGAAAGACCCCAAATAAATCCTTGAAAATGTCCAACCATGAAAGATGTTTCGTTAAGATTTTCAGGTAATGTATCTTAGACAAGTCATGGTAACAGAGCTATCAAATTTCCTCAGTCTTTGTGATGTCTTAGCTACAGCTCTTATTATCTCTAGCCATAGGTTGGGGCTGATTAAAAGTTGTAATCCAAAACATCAACACTGTTGTATTGAAAAGACTTGCATTAAAATTTCAATGGAACTCTCAACCTCAGAATAACTTTCTCTTAATCTAACCCTTCCCATCAAGTTGCTATGTGAATAAAGGACAAAGGGAAATGAATTTGCCACTCTTAAAAGATGGACAAGATAGAAATATATGTACAGGTAATCCTTGCTTAACAACTACTCGTTCAGTAACCATTACAACTTATTATAGTGCTGAACTAACAGTACTTATGACTGATCTCATAGTTGTGGCAGTGCCCCTATATTCACGTGATTGTAATCCAGGTCCTTAGCAACCAATTCACAATTATGATGTTG